TATTAAAAGTGTGCCTGCTCTTGTTTTTTTACATGAGTCGACTTCTCCATTGCATTGGAAGTCTATAATTTTTTTAATTACGAATGGTGTGACATTTTCAAATGTTTTATTGTCTGTTCTGGATATTGTGATAAATTTTGGAAGATTGTAGTTGGTTTTGTTCTGTAGAAATAGTCTATTTAAATCTGGTGGGAGTGCCATTGTTGGTGTAGTCGGGCAGTCGCCCTGCTGCAATTCGGCGTGTGCACTGTTTCACTTGGTTGTTGTTATTGCTTGTTTGCTAATTGACCTAATGCATAGTGTGTAATTGTTTTTTTTTGGCTATTTATAGATTACTGATAAGCAATTTTTGCACTTGTAAACAGTCGGTAGTCGCACGTCTTTACTTCTCGAAGCTAAAGTTGGTACTGAATTTTGAATTGATGCAAGTAAATAGTGCAAGAAAGGTAGGAAAACATTCTGTTATTATATACAAACTAAAACTCGAGTTTTCTGATGTGTCTGAACCTACATTGGGATGTTACAATGCTACCGAAATAGCATTGCAAGTTGAAAGTGGAACATCTCCAATTTTCTTCAAACCGAGAACTTTACCTTTAGCTTGGAAAAATAAGGTAGAAACTAAATTACGCAATTTGATTCGAGTGGGCAACACCATTAGTTCCAATTCTGAAACCAAATGGTGACATCAGAATTTGCGAATTACAAGAATTACAAGACTATAGAGTCACTCTTAATAAATCATTAATTGACGTCAAATATCCTTTGCCGAGGATTGACTATATATTTGCCGTACTGACAGGTGGTGAATTATATTCTAAGCTTGACTTGAGCAATGCTTACAATCAACTAAGGTTAGATAACAAGAGAGAACGCTACAGTCGAACAAGCCCGACAGTAAAATAGCCTGTACTCTCCACAAAAAAGGAAAATTAAAAAAAAAGTTTAGTTCAGTATGTGTGTATGTGTGTATGTATGCAGCATAAAGTTGAACCAAAGCAGCAACAACAACAACAGCTGCGGGCAACGCTGCAAGTAGAGCATGGGCAGCGATTTATTTATGGCTATAACCTTCTTCATAACTGACCTATCATGATGACACTCGGCATACTGACAAATAACCACGATCTGGATGTATATGCCATTTGAGTTCAAAATTCCAAGAACTTCCGGAGTTAGTTAGTGTATCAGAAAAAAAAAAACACAAACTCGATCTGCCTGGGGCTTAGGGGAATCTGAATGCCAAGTTTGGTTATCCTAGCTATTGTGCTTGCTGAGATCGTTGCGCTCATACAGACGGACAGACGGACGGACAGACGAACATAGCTATATCGACTTGTCTTGTCATCCTGATCAATAATATATATACTTTGTGGGGTCTGCCACGCATCCTTCTGTGTGTTACATACATTCGCACAAAACTAATATAGCCTTTTACCCTTTGGGTACAGGCTATAAAAAGTCACAAATGATGTGCACGTGGAGTACACACATTGGCTTATTAAAAGTTAAAAGATTACCTTTTGGAATTAAATCGGCAGCAGCAATTTTCAAAAAGCAGTGTAAAGAAGTTATTTTTTCAGCTGAGGTAATGCTCAGCTGTCCAGGATCCCTTACAAGAAAATTTGTAAGTTGCGGGACCTTGCTACCAAAAGGGCTCGATGCACACTGTTGTCAGCGACACGTGGAATTTGCGTTCACAGGTTGATGCCCGATGAACGAAAGTTCGACGCATCTACCAAACTGCCGCCGTCTTGCATTTGTGGTTAACGACACCGCAATTACAAGACGTCACCAATCTGGCTCTGTCGATTTCGTGGTTTATAACACCTTAGCGTTATATCTGCCTGTTAATGGCCCAGCAGATATAACCACCAACAGTTTTATTCCTACTCTAAATGCTGCCGGCCCTATGCTACACAAATTTAACACCAGGATGCTTTGAACTTACATGGATTTTATTTGATCGTGTAAGGCTTTGCGGCTGGTACTCGCACGTCTATTCGCTGCTGTGGTCACTGGAGAAGAGAGCGAGCTTACATTTTTGCTCTCCCTTCTAACCTCGTTTTTCTTGCATCCCTTTTCGCTATTTATCGAAAAGCTCTCTCTGCGTGGGCGGTGATGCCAGCCCGCCTGTTCTCTCTCTATTTACAAGTACAACACTTATAAAATACCTCTCGTTGTGCAAATTCAAATAATACCGGTCCTTCATGACAATTATAGAAATGGATAATGCGCAATATACTAATTATAACTAAACATTTAACATAAACAATGTGCAATATTCAAGTGTGCCATAGAAACTTAGGCAAGTAATACAATGTGCAATATTCATCTTTTCAATATAATAGAAATTTAGGCTAATAAAACAATGTGCAATATTCATGTGCGCAATAGAAACTTAGGCTAGTAATACAATGATAAGATGAGGTTGTAGCTAATTGTGACGCAGCGGGATTCTGCATCACAGCAGTTTCACTTCAACCCTCTTTGAGCATAGACGTGTGACTACGACAACATAAACAAAGGTCATTGACTACACCCTTCAACAGACTCTCACCAGCCTTGTAGAAACAATAAGCGAAAAAAAATAAACCAAAAGCAACGAGTGCAATGTGCAAGTGCCGGGCTTAAGCCCAAAAACAATAACAATGAAACCACCTGATTTAAAAAGAAGTGCAACAAGCAACGAAAACTCTAACGAAGGAAAATATTTTGTTATCACTAGAACAGGTAATAATTCATTTATTCACACTAACCCGTTTTTAATAAACACAAGAGAGAACGCTACAGTCGAGCCAGCCCGACAGTGAAATACCCTGTACCCAGGTAAACTTCCGTCACTGAGTTATATAGCAGCAGCAAAAAGAGGAAGAAGAAGAGCGAACTTGTTGCTGCAGTTTAGGGGGTTGCACTGGAGAGAATTTGTTTCGCTAATAACTTTTCTTAGAACTGACCGAATTGGATAAAATTGTAAACTAAAGTAGAGAAACTACGTGGGAAAGTTTGGTTTATGTGGAGAGTATTGAAGAAATTCTGTAGCGGGGGAAGGGGGGGGGGGAATTTAAAAAATAAACCAATCTCATCCTTTCTCGAACCTAGTAGAATGTGGATACCAACTTTGGTTATTCTCGCTTTTATAGTTTCTGAGATCCTTGCGTTCATCCAGACAGACGGACGGACATATCTAGATCGATTTCTCGTCATGCTGATTCAGAATATATATACTTTATGGGGTCGGAGATGCTTCATTCTGCATGTTACATACTTTGCACAAACCTAATATACCCATTTTACCCTACCCTTTTATATAATAAGAGCTCGTGTTTTGTACGGCAAGCAAATCCTTGAAAATGAATATGAAAAGCAATGTCAAAATACTTTTGTCCAGGCAAACTTTTGTCACAAACTACGCCGACAATCATAGAAAAGAAATGTGTTACGTTATCAGTGCGATCTGATATAAATGAATAAAATATTGTATATATATGTATATTTTGCCTATATATATATATATATATATATATATATATATATATATATATATATATATATATATATATATATATAGGCCGTTGACCAAAAATTTATTAAATTCGGAAAAAATTTATACCACAAACTTTTCATTTGAAAATGTGAATAAATATTACAACCTCACTAATTCAACCTCCACCACAAAGTCCGAGTATGCAGTTTTGTTTGTATTCTTTTATAGATTATAAAAATCAAATTTAAAGTTGATTGGTGGAAAACTGAAGATTTTTCAAACAAACTTTGGAGCTCGTTTTCCCCCCTTTGGAGCTCAAATTTTCCAAAATCTCTTCTTAGTGCGCACCTACACTATGATAGGGTACTTGACCCCAGCTTCAGCTTCCTAGCTTTTACCGTTTGGGCTGTGCGTTGATCACCAATCAGGCAGTCAGTCAGGACAAATTGTTTTATATATACTTGTATAGATATGTACAAGGTGCGTTCCAAAGTAAACAGGGCTTTTTTTTTTTGCGTTAGAATCTGCTATCTTTATCGATCATCATGTAAATTAATGGAAAAGGAATTGAACATCTCCAAAACATCGATTGATCGCATTTTGACCGAACATTTGGGCTTACGAAAGGTGTGTGCACGGTTTGTTCCGCACAAATTGACTGACGACCAAAAATTGCTCTCATCGATCGACGCTTGTGACCGATTATTCACCTGATATGGCACCGTGACTTCTACCTTTTCGGAAAAATGAATTTGCCCATGAAAGGAAAGCGTTATGCAGACGTAGAGGCCATTCAAAATGCTTGCACCGGCATACTGGCGGCCATACCGGCCAACGAGCTAAAACACTCGTTCGACATGCTTTTGGATCGTGCAAAAAGCTGTATTGAAGCAGAAGGAGACTATTTCGAATAAAATAAATTGATTTTGCCGAAAAAACCATTTGTTATGTTTTTTTTTAAAAGTCCTGTTTACTTTGGAAAGCACTTTGTATGTATGCATGTGTTGAATATTTGAATAATTAAATAAATAAATAAATTAAATTTTTAAAATAATTTTTTATCTTAAATTTTCTTTTGTTGTGGAGATTACAGGGTATTTTACTGTTGGGCTTGCTTGACTATAGCGCTCTATCTTGTTTGACTATAGCCATGATAGCTTAGCTCGAAAGGAAGTAGTCTCAGCCCAGCAAGTAATTTAGCTTAAGTCCGTTCTCTGCATAAACACAAACTCAATGAAAAATGTATGCAATTGTAAAAGTGAAAAAATGTGCATTACATGCTTTATTTTAATTGCTTTCATTTAAATCAAATTTTAAAAATTTGTTGTGAAGTGAAAATGGTTGTCTAAAAGTCAATGGTTTAAATAGTTGTTGCTCTTTTTCTTTCAAGATTTGTGAAATGGGGTATGGTTATGAAGCATTTTCTGTTTGTAACTGCTGCTCATGCCTGAGCTCATTCAATGTTGCTGCAGTACGTACATATACTTGTGGTATTTTCCAAATCGTAACTTACCTTCCGCTCCGTTTATCATGCCGTTAATGTTTCCACTTGCCGCAACACCACCAATTGCGCCTCCGTTGCTATTTGGGGCCCCAACAAATTCACCACCAGTACCCACAAATACATCGTTTTCTTGCTGCATTTGATTTGAGAAATGGGTCTCTTTGGCACGCACCACCTCGTTAAGTCCCTTGCTGTGGCTCGGCTGCTGCTTCCGTCGCGGCTTAGTTGTTGTATGTACGTGAGGTATGGGTGTTGTTGTCGACTTGGGTGGTAAACGTAGCTCTGCAAGAAATTGCACCAATTATATAATGTAGAATGCTGCTCAGCGATAACAAGAACAAAGGCGCAGGTGCCGTGAAACCATGTTTTTAATTTTTAATTGTGAAATACATACTAGCCTATGGATGTTAGTAATTTTATACGGTCAAGAGAAGGTATGACAAGTAAATTGTTCGTCTAACATCTAAACTAAGCCTAAACTTTTAAATCAGAATGTCATCTGATTAACATAAAACAAGTGGAAAAGCTAAAATTAAAAAATTCGAAGAAACACGGGAGTTATGGATGAGTGATTGTATGGGACAGGGGGGAGGGAAGGAAATTCCAAAATACACATTTTCTGCTTATTCACATAAGGCATTTGGTGTCCCTAGCTGTAATAGTATCTGAGATATAGGCGATTATGCGAATGGAAAGTCGGGAAATGCTCCATAGGTTGGAAGTGGGGGGAGAGAGAGAATATATAAGAATATTTGTACTTAGTGTGGTCACTTTTTACTTCCTTGGTATTCTAACTCCTGTAAAGGGTGTATAGCTGCACATAATGTCATACTGCAATAAGTCTTGCAATTGATTCTGAACAACTACAAATTGTTGGTTGTGCGTGAATATAATGGAACATCTTTTGTTTAATATTTTTAAAGCTTATACCCAAAGGGTGAAAGGCTTTACTAGGTTTGTGTGAATGTAAGCAAAAGCAAGGCAGACCCCACAAAATATATATATTATCGATCAGGGTGACAAGCCGAGTCGATATAGACATGTCCGTCTGTATGAGCGCAAGGATCTCAGAAGGTACAAGAGCTAGAATGACCAAACTTGGAATCCAGGTTCCCCTGAGCCTTAGGCAGGTCAAAGACTATATTAGTTTTGTGCGAATGTATGTAACTGGCAGAAGGAAGCGTAGCAGAACCAGATTCAGTGGAAGACACAAGACTTGGCACAATTAAAAAAGACGTCTTCTTTATACGATGACTCGTCAGAGACTGAGTTCGAGCGAATTGCTCAAGCTACAATGTACAGCGAGATTGGGGAAACAGCTGATAGGGTTGCCAGAGTTCCTATGTACATACGTAGCCTACTACAAATCGGCCATCCTGACAGCCGGATCTCCTGATCCCGGTGTATTACATAGTGTGTTTGTTTAAAAGTATGCACAATTGGAGTATTTTCTTATATCTATGTTTTACAAAATGTTTCTAAGTTTATTGGCGAAATTTTACAATATTCTTAAACTATTTCTTTTTCCCTACCCAATGCCGTATGTTTTGAACACCCCGAACACCCTTGTATGGGTTTCGAGAAATCAGAAAATTCTCTACATCTATCAATAGAAACCTGTCGTTACGCAACACTTTCGCTATTTCATATGGTTCTTTGTTTTTGGGGATTAGCTTTCTAGTAGCCCCTACCGTGCAATCGAAATTGTTTACCATTACGTAGTCTCCCTTTTTATAGCTTCGCAGTTTTCTCTTCGAATTATTATAATATGATTCATTGTACGACATTGAACGTTTTTGGTTTTCTTTAACTTCATTCCTGATTTTTTTGAAACTACCTTTATAAACCGTATTGTTATCTTCTTCCAACTTTTCTCTGAACTTGCCTAATATATCACCTTTCTGCTCGGCGTCGAACAATACCTTACGATGGATTGTGTTGTTAAGAGAGTATTCAACTTGTTATACTACTGAATCAAAATGTCTGCACTTATCTGGTTCAGTCAACTTCTAAATCATTGGACCTAAACTCACATTTATCCGTTCAACTTCTCCATTTGTCTGTGGAGATCCAGTCGCTATCATAATGTGTTTAATATTTATTATTTAATATTTGCCCTACCTGTAGCTACCGGTCCGTAATGATCAATATGTATTAACTGGAATGGTTTATCTCCTTTTGGTATGCTATGTAAAAGTCCCTCCTTTCCACTCTTTGGCGACAGACAATTTTCAATATGATTGCTGCACTTTTCCTTAAGATTTTCGAAACAACAACTTCTCGAAATAATGTCCATCATTTTGTCTTTGCCAATATGACCCAGATCATTATGATATTTGTGCAATACATGGCTTTCCATATCTTCGGGTAAGTAAAAGAGTAACCTATCGTCGTTTGTTTTCCTATAAAAATCCCATTTCTCATCTCGTACATTTTGTGCTCACTTTTCTCTAAAATTTTTTTAATCGTTTGTATCTTAGGGTCCCTTGCTTGACAGATAACAAGATTGTCCTCAAAACTATTTGTTTCCACTACCAAAATATTTGTGCATCAGCTTAATGCATCTACATGTTACATTCTACTCCCGGCTCTGTAAACTAGCTCATAATCGTAGTTTTGCAGTTCCAAAGTCAATCTAGCGATTCTAGGATTTAAATCAACCTTGTTCAACGTAAGGGTTAAAGAGTTGCAATCTGTGAATATTTTGAACCGTTTCCCGTGTAGGTAAATTCGAAAGCTCCGTATGGCATAAATTATTGCTTATGTCTCCAGCTCAAAACTATGATACTTTGACTCTGTCTCTGTTGTACGCTTAGAAAAATAAAATATTGGATGCGTTTTCCCATCGCTTTTTATACCTTGTACCCAAAGGGTGAAACGGTTTACTAGTTTTGTGCGAATGTATGTAACAGACAGAAGAAGCCGAGGAAGACCCCCAAAAGTATATGTATTATTGATCAGGATGACAAGCCGAGTCGATATAGCCATATCCGTCTGTCCGCCTGTATGAAAGCTATGATATTAGAAAGTATACAAGTATGAGCTAGACACAGATGTAAATGTATACTGTTGAAACTGTATGTATGTATGTATGTACATATGTCTTGAATATTTTTTATTTAATTTAATGAATTAATTTTATTTTTATAACCTGTATCCAAAGGATAAACGGCCATACTAGTATATACTATACACAAAGTACATATATGTATTATTGATCAGGATAATAATCAGACTTCGTATCCAGATTCTCCTAACTCCGAGAAAGGACGAGATTGTTTTTTTTTTCCTGATACACCCCCACTCCCCCGTAATTCCTGTTTTTCATAACTCCCGTAATTCTTGGAATCCTGAATTTGGCCACGTTTCATCATGATAGGTCAATTCTGAAGAAAGTTATAGCCATAAATAAAATCGCTGCATATGCTCTGCCTGCAGCTCTGCAAGCAGCTTTTGTCGTTGTAGCTCCTTTGGTTCAACTTTGTGATGCCTACATACACGCATATAAACATGCAGAGACACGATTCTAACATCAAAATAAAATAATTTGATTAATATAATTTTTTTAAATTAATGATAAACAATTTTTTTTATTAATAATTTAGTGTTTTGGAAATGGAAGGAATGTTTTCAGGACTTTGGATTTAATTCTTATTAGATATTGCATATAATGGTGTTCTAAGTGTAATTGTTCTGATAAAGACTCAGTTGAAAGAACTGTGGAAAAAGTTTTTGCTGATTGCGCAATATTTCTTGTCAGTTTTTGGGCACCAACACGGGCTGAGTGGTAACCTATTGCCAATGGAAGATGGAGAAATTGCTGCATTCTCCTTTAAATTAAGTTCAATAAAATAGAGCGAAGGAAATCCTGGTTGATTTATTGTTGTGGGTGGAATGGCTTTCATGTCCAGGAAGTAATAACATACATACGTTTGCCATACTCCTTGGTTGCGCATTTTCCAATGAATAGATTGCTTCGATTATTTAAAGCCTTTTCATTTTATTCTGTTTTGGAGGCATTCCCGTAAAAATATATGTTTATTAAGATTTATGAAAAAATAAAGAACACTACAGATGTTTTCTGAAAAAACATAACAATAGAAACAATAAAAAACAAAACTTGAAAAAATTAGTAATATTAACGTATACATAGATATGGCCATACGTTTTATGGCCATAAGCTAGAAGGTGCTTCAAAACGAAATTTTCGCAGCAAGTTTTTACGAAATTTAATAAACAACTATTTGGCAATATTTTACCTTGAAGTCGGATTCGCGTTTCACTCTTTCCAAGGGCATTTACACTTAAGCAGCTGTACGCTCCAAAGTCTGTTTTAGTAAGATTACGTATAGTTAGGTTGAGTTGCCACATATATAAATTTATCATAGCTTCTGAAATGTTATATTTAATGCCATTGTGTAATTTCATGTTTCCTGGAAGATATTTTGAAAGTCGACGGTCTTTAATTTAAAATATTTCATTTACATACCTTCATTTCGGTACCAACCATTTAATGGCTTTGGATAGACTTCCACAATGCATTCCAAAGTAACTTCCCTATCAATAGGTGCACCTACCAATTGGTTCACTGCTTTTATTGTCGGAGAAACTGTAATATCAAAACACACAAAACAAGTCGATAAAGTAATATGGTGGTTTTTAACCCAGAACAACATTTTAAACCCAAACCTATTCGGCTTTAAACAAGTGAAAAAGCTAAAGTCGGGTGTCCCGACTTTGAAATACTCTGTACATATGTTTAGAATAATTATAGAAATTAAAAAAGTAAGAGAATTAAAAAAAACATGAAGAGAAGCTAAAGTCGGGTATCCCGACTTTGAAATAATATGTACATATGCGTAAAATAATTATGCGTGTAAGTGTGTATTTGTGTGTGTCTGTGTATGTCTCGTGTGCCTGAGCAAAGCAGTAACAACAACAACAGCTGCGGGCACTACTTGGTCTTATGTACATATATGGCTATAACTTCCTGTTAAATCCGACTATCATGATGAAACTTGGCATTTGGACTTATAATAACTAAATGGAGGTATTTATCAACTTTCTTCTTCTTCTTTCAACTTCGTTCTAAAGTCCAAGAATTACGGGAGAGAGGGAAATTCCAAAATACATATTTTCTGCGTATTCACAAAGGGCACTTGGGACTAAAATTTGGTGTCCCTAGGTCTTATAGTCCCCGAGATATAAGCGATAATACGAATGGAAAATCGGGAAAACGTCCATAGGGGGGAAGTGGGGGGGGGGGGGGATAAAAAAAAAACAAACTTGCACAGCGTACACACATAAGGCATCTTTGTGCAAAATTTGGTATCTCTAGCTCTTATAGTCTCTGAGATCCAGGTGTTCACACGGACAGACTGACAGACAGACAGGGCTAGATCGTTTCATCTCGTCATGCTGATCAAGAATATATATACTTTGTGGGGTCTGCCACGCCGCCTTCTGCTTGTTACATTTTCAGCTCCCACATACAGAATTTCGTCAATAGCGTCCACATTTCAAATGCTACCTAAACCAATCTACGCACACATAATTTATATATTATTGTCTACTGTTGTTCAACATTTTATTCAATTCGGTCAATTCTAAGAAAAGTTATTAGGAAAACAAATTCTCGCCAGTACAACCCCCCCCCAAACTGCAGCAACAAGTTCGCTCTTCTTCTTCCTCTTTTTGCTGCTGCTATGGGCTCATATAATTCAGTGACGGAAGTTTACCTGGGTACAGGGTATTACACTGTCGGGCTTGCTCGACTGTACCGTTCTCTCTTGTTTTTTTTTTTGATTTGCCCCCACTTCCTTTTTATACCCTGTACCCGTAGGGTAAAAAGGGTATATTAGGTTTGTGCAAAGTATGTAACATACAGAAGGAAGCATCTCCGACCCCATAAAGTATATATATTCTTGATCACCATGACGAGAGAAATCGATCTAGACATGTCCGTCCGTCCGTCTGGATGAACGCGAGGATCTCAGAAACTATAAAAGCTAAAATAACCAAAGTTGGCATCCAGATTCTCCTAGGTCCGAGTAAGGACGAGTTTATTTTATTTTATTCTATTCGGTCAACTCTAAGAAAAGTTATTAGCAAAACAAATTCTCGCCAGTACAACCCCCCCAAACTGCAGCAACAAGTTCGCTCTTCTTCTTCCTCTTTTTGCTGCTGCTATGGGCGCATATAACTCAGTGACGGAAGTTTACCTGGGTACAGGGTATTACACTGTCGGGCTTGCTCGACTGTAGCGTTCTCTCTTGTTTTATTTTCTATTCTTACAATCGCCTATATCGGAGACTATAAGAACTAGGAACACCAAATTTTAACACAAGATGCCTTATGTGAATACGCAGAAAATGTGTGCTTTGCAATTTCCATCCCTCCCCTCGTCTTGTATCCTGATCAATAATATATACAATGTGCGTTCAAAAATAAACAGGACTTTTTGAATCTAGCGCCCCCTGGTGGCGCTAATTATATGTCGACTGGTGCGTTAGAATCTACTATCTTTATCGATTGTCCAGTGAGACTGAGCCTTTCATGACATTTCATCGATTGGAAGTGAAGTTATTCAGTTTGTGTTATCCGTGCGAAAATGAGCTAGAGCCAACATCAAATTTTGTTTTAAAATTGGTAAAACTTTTTTTGCCTATCCCGTAACAGAGTGCACGAGTGGTTTCAACGTTTTCAAAGTGGTCGTGGGGACATAAATGACGATCAACATGTGGGCCAATCAAAATTCGTGATCACCGAAAATTCCCTCTAAACTGTGCGTGAATTCATCAAAAATCAGCCGAAATCATCATTGAAATTGATGGAAATGGAATTGAACATCTCCAAAACATCGATTTATCGCATTTTGACCGAACATTTGGGCTTACGAAAGGTGTGTCCACGGTTTGTTCCGCACAAATTGACTGACGACCAAAAATTGCTCAGAATCCGTCTCATCGATCGACGCTTGTGACCGATTATTTGACCAAAAATCACATTTTAATAATTAACCACTCGCCGTATTCACCTGATATGGCACCGTGCGACTTCTACCTTTTCGGAAAAATGTATTTGTCCATGAAAGGAAAGCGTTATGCAGACGTAGAGGCCATTCAAAAGGCTTGCACCGGCATACTGGCGGCCATACCAGCCAACGAGCTAAAACACTCGTTCGACATGCTTTTGGATCGTGCAAAAAGCTGTATTGAAGCAGAATCTCCTTCTGCTATTTCGAATAAAATAAATTGATTACCATTTCTTGTTTTTTTTTTAAGTCCTTTTTATTTTGGAAAACACCTTGTATACTTTTGGGGGTCCGCCACGCCTTCTTCTGTATGTTACATACATTCGCACAAAACTAGTATACCCTTTCACCTTTTGGGTACTGGGTATAACAAGTGAAGAAGCTAAAGTCGAGTGTCCCAACTTTGAAATACTTTTACATATGTGTAGAATAATAAAAGAAACTAAAACAAGAAAGGAATGGTAGAGTCAAGCTGTCTCAACTCTTAAATACGCTTTACTCACCCATAAAAAAAGAATTGTTTTAAAAAATAATTTAAACAAAATTAAAAAAATAAATTCCAAATAATTAAAAATATTTAATATATATAAACAAAAGTGGCGCATATGTTTATGTTTCAACAGCATACATTTACATCGGAATCATGTTTATGCGTGTTTATATACGTGTGTTTATACAAGTACACAACAACAGCTGTGGGCAGAAATTAAATTTATGGATATAATAGACCTATCATAACTTATCGTATGGAAATATAATCACTAACGGAATGTTATTAGAGTATATTACAGTTAAAAACTCTAAGAATTACGGGAGTTATGGAAAATCACTATTAGCAGGGGAGTAAAGTGCATCGAAAAAAAACTCGAACTCCAATTATGGTTATTATAGCTCTTATACTTACTGAGAATCTTGCGTTCATTTAGACGGACGGACAGGCAGACAGACATATAGTAGATTGACTCGTCTTGGTATGCTGATTAAGAATAAATATACTTTTTGGGGTCTGCCACGCCTTGTTCTGGGTGTTACATACATTCGCAGTAAACTAGTATACCCTTCTACCCTTTGGGTACACGGTATACAAAGGCCATCCAACTAAAATCACATGTAACACGCGTCTTGCCTGCATCGAAACATCGCAGCCATCAGTTACAAATACTTAAGCCCACAGCAAAGAGTTACACATACGCACATTCCAATGATAAGGGGACGAACCTAAGCAGAAGCTATGAAAATGCTTCCACCACCCTGAAACATTGACTACGCCCGAGTACCCGCCCCACTCAGTGTAATCTGGTGGAAAAAACCCAAAAATAAACAATCGCTTTTCAACTACGGTCTGCAAGCCTGCTGCTGTTTGCCAATTCAAACCATATGCATTAGAGATTGGCCTGGTTTGGCTTTAGTAGGACCGGCACGAATTTAAGTTTAAACAAGTAAAAAAGCTAAAGTCGGGTGTCCCGACTTTGAAATACTCTGTACATATGCTTACAATAATTATAGAAATTAAAAAAAGTAAGAGAATTAAAAAAAAATGTGATCGATTTTACGTCTTTTGGTATTCGAACTCACGTAAAGGGTGTATAATTGCACATATACAAAGCAATTGCATCTGTGTGAGTGTATGTGTCTGTGTAAACATGTGTGCAGTCAACCAAAGCACCAGCATCAACAACAGCCGCGGCCAGCGCTTGAGTAGTGCTTGAGCAGCGCTGCAGCAGCAAATATATTTATGGCTATAACTTCTTGTTAAATCTGTCTATCATAGTGAAACTTGGCATACGAACACATAATAACTAACTGGGGGTATTTGCAAAAATTTAGTTGGAAATTCCAAGAATTACGGGAGCTAGAGAAAATCGCGACTTGCGGTGGTGAAGGGGAGGGAGGGAAATTCCAAAATATACATTATCTGCGTATTCACATAAGGCATCTGGGACTAAAATTTGGTGTTCCTAGTTCTTATAGTCTCCGAGATATAGGCGATTATACGAATGGAAACTCGGGAAAACCCCCATAGGAGGGTAGTGGGGGGGAGGGGAAATCAAAAAAATAAAGGAAACTCGTATAGCGTACACACATAAGACATCTTTGTGCAAAATTTTGTGTCTCTAGCTCTTATAGTCTCTGAGAAGAATTACGGGAGTTATGAAATACACGAATTTCGTTGGAGTGTGTTCTTGTACATATGTATGTATGTGTGCATTGGGCCTGGTTATATGGCTATAACTTTCTTTCTGATCAACCTATCATAATAACTTAATGTGACTGCCAAATTGTAGTTTAAAAGAACTACGGGAGTTATAGAAAATCGTGAATAGGGGGGAGTGGGGGGGATCAGAAAAAATGAACAAACTCGTCCTTTCTCGGGCTCAGGAGAATCTAGATACCAAGTTTGGTTATTCTAGCTCTTATACTTTCTGAGATCCTTGCGTTCATACAGACAAACGGACAGACGGTCAGACTGGCATGGCTATATCGACTCGGCTGTCATCCTGATCAAGAATATATATACTTTGTGGGGTCTGCCACGCCTAATTCTGTGTGTTACATGTACACTTGCATAAAACTAA